TTGGTCTTGATGAAAGAAAAATGAGATTTGTATTGTATATTTGGTTTTGATTTTCATTAGGTGTATTATGTCCTTAACTATTTATATTTTTGGTGGGATTAAAGTAAGAAAATTTTGGTACTTGTTCTAGCCACCCCTTTCCAACAATCTCCCACTTGAGCCACATATTTTATATACCTTATAAATGTGTACACCTTATGAGCTCAAATATTGCTATCATATAAAAAAATATTCCTTTCAATCTCGTCCATTGACCATATTAATATAGGACTACAGTGCCTTTCGTCACATTGACCATGTCTAAACCCAATAGTAATAACGTATATACCAATATAACCAAACGCCACAGATCAAATCGTGGTGTGTAGCATGGAAATTACATATTAAGTGATCTTAACATACCTATTTCTAACTGGTCCTACTTTATACTTTATTGAAACCAAACCTTAACATAATTGTACAAAGTGTAGCCATATACTTTATTTCTACAGAAAATCAAAATACACAAATTTGTGTCCAAAAATACCATAGAGCTACCAAAATGCATATAACTATACACTTACATACAAACTCCCACCAACCCATAATATCCTTGCATGATATAACACCGATATGAGCAATGCTCACCTTAGGTGTTCATCCCTTTGTAAGCGGATCCGCAAATTGTAGAGTTTATCTTAATATGCTCTATGTACTGTTCACTTTATACCTTTAACAACAAAGAAATTTTACAAGCTCTTGTTGTTGTTCGAATATATAACTATTAAGTATTGTCACCGCATAACTTTAATACAAATCAAAATGTGCAACCCTAGTGACAAAAGTTTATAGTTATATTTCAAAATAAGATGCCAAAAATTACCATAAATTGTTTAACCTTTGTGCAATGGGCTTTAAGTGTCTACTAAACACCTATACTGAAATAACTTTATGACTTAGGTCTTCATTAACCGAAATAGATCTATGCTTTATACACATCATAAAACTCAAAATCAGAAATAAAACACGATCTCACCAAAATATCTGATTTTGATAACTGAGAATATATATATATATATATATATATATATATATATATATATATATATATATATATATATAGCAACACTTAATGGTTCTCCCGAGTGGAGAAAAAGGACTTATCATACTTCTTTTGAGTGTCCCTTCAGTGTTCTAATTCTTGAATTTTCTTCCATTTTTATGATATATTGGTTATGCGAGATTTTTACGTAGGAGAG